AATATCTATTATTTAATTGAATTAATATCCTAATAAATTAAATAATAGAATCCGTAGATTCAAGTCTTGGTGATTTGTTAATCACAAGGAGTTGTGATTGTAAGATACAAATTATATATGATCGAATTTTAAATCGTCCGTAGTCAAAGTAATAACGAGATACGGATATCGTTATTGTATCTCGTTATTACGGACAGATCATCACGTGTGACATTCTTACTTGTGAAGTAAGTAGCTGATCTCACAAGTTAAAGTGGGGTGACACTTGAATGAACACGTGGATGCTTTGTTATAGAACAAAACATTGGAGACCCGTTGGGAGATTACACATGGATAACTATTTAAGTGTTAGTGGTTAATATCTACCGTTCGGTAGTGGAATTGATCATTTGACTTGACGTCATCATATTACTTTATATGAGGACAGTCATATTTTGGTGGTGTTGGATGTTGCTCTGTCAAGGGTCGCTAATACGCATCATTCGGGTATGTCAAGAATCATATGAAAATTGTAAATGATCGATAGAGAATTCGTCACTCTTAAATAGTAAGAGATTATGATCTTCATTTTATCCAGTTAAGTTGATAATAAAATCTTTGGCCAAGGTGAACTCATAAGTCGAAAAAGAGTTTTCAACTTACATTAACTTAAAAATGGGATAAAAAATATGATCAATAATTGAGATTGACACATATCCATATCTCATCATTAATCGAATCATATTAACGAAAAGATTATAATTTCACGGTAAACGAACAAGTTTGGTTTGTCACATCACGTGACATTTCCCATCATAAGTATTGCCTTGCAAGATGTTAATTTGGGACGACGAATGTGAATTAGTGATAAATTAAAATGGGTGTTTTAATTTATTGATTTTGATTAGATTAAAATAATAATTCACGTTGTTAGGTATCGTGATCGGGAACCTAATGGGTCACACACAAAAGAGAACCAGAAGAATGAGATTTACCAATTAATTAATTGACAAGTGTTGAATAAATAATTAATTGGATTGCTTATTAATCGGCCCGAATTAATTTATTG